ACTAACGAACAGTAATTCATTTTTATATAATATTATATATTATATAAGTAGATATAGATTTGTAAGGAACATTTTGTACTTAGCACATTTATCTTGATTAGTCCTGCACATATATGGTTCATGTTACAAGCTAGTTTTTTTACTTATTATTCTGTTTCTACGAATAAGTTTTATTATTCGTAGTTCTGTCTTTTTTTAGCCTGTGTATTGTGTGCCTAACAAATAAATATATAAAAAATACTACCGCAGGCTTAGGGACCCCGGTAACCGTCCTCGTTGACTCTACAAAGAGTTCGACGTGCAACCTAACCCATGCATCAACCCGCTGAGTTTGTCGCCGGATCTTCTCAGCGGGTCGCGATTCCGATCCGGTAGTAGACTCGTTAGTGAAGCCGCTGCTCTTGAGTTGTTAGATTTTCTTCGGAGGCGCTCGGGCAGCTGTTAGCAAATCCCACCCCTCCTGGTTGAGCTTTTGCTCGCCCACCTGTCCTGGTGAAGCTGGAAAGGCCTCCTGGCCCACAGTAATCCTCCAATTACAAAAAAAAGTAAATCTTATACCTTTAAACGAGCAATTCAATATAATCTGAATCTCGGAAACGGCTCCAACGATTTTTATAAAATATAGTATACAGGGGATTTCGGGGGCGATAAATCGATCTAGCTACGATTTATTTTCAGAAAATGTTGTTTTATTCGTGTTTTCAATAATCAAATTTATCGATAATCAACTTTATGACTCTTCCCGACATCTATTGGCGAATAATAATACTATTTTTCATAATTGAGCATATCTAACTGCTTTAAAGACACAATAACACTAAAGCTATTTCAGCAGATGGCGTTGTTAAGCCACCCGAAGCCAATGAGTGTATGGTTTAAGGTTAAACCAAGAAAATGAATTGTTTATTTATATTATTTGTCTCTTTTTAACTCACGTGTTCACTAAAAAAAGCCTAAACGATCTTGGAATATTTCATCATTTTATCAATATATAATTCGTATTTAAATATAATTTCTAAAAAACACAATTTATCAAAAAAAAAACAAATATAGCGAGCAAATTAATTATTATTATTTTAATTATTCATCGTCTAATGAATAATTAAAATATAAATAGCGGAAAATGAAGAAGACTGCGCACAGACAATTCCACATTAATAAATTATTGTTAAATTTATTATAGTGTAATGTGATTTTGTTTGTGTAAAGTACTTAAATTAATTAATGGTTTGTTTTGATTGAGCTATTCTACATTTAAAAGGAAAATTGTATCTGTCGTTTAATATGTGTGGGTTTATTTGAGTTCTTTGTGATCCTTATTTACCTTGACTTGGCTAGGACTATTAACTCACGGAAGATACGTCCTCTGTCTTGAACAGTTTCCAGCGTGCTTTGTGCGAGTTTTTTAACGCTCTCGATAGCGTAAAAGTTAACTCAAATTTGTATGGAGTTGGAACGTTTGCCTACGTTTGCCGCTAGGGGCGCTGTTCCAACTGCTTACAAATTTAAGTTAACTTCTACGCTATCGTGAACGTTAAACAACTCGCACTTAGCTCACTGAGCTTAGTGAATGCGGGTCGGATGTTTCCAATCTTTATAAATAGTGTCACTGCTTATGAAATTCAATATTCAAAATCTTTTATTCCAGTGCTTTGTGACGGCCAGCGTCGCCATCAACATCGTGGGCCATGGCTGCGTCATCGGCTTCCCGGCTATATTGATTCCGAGTCTCCGGAAATCAGATTCCCACATCCATCTTACCAGATCTGAGGAGTCATGGATAGGTAAGACCATATAATACATATACGAACCTCGGTTTTTTAATGCTTAGATCGGTGGACGAGCTTGCCACCTGGTGTTAAGTGGTTACCGGAGCCCATAGACATCTAAGACGTAAATGCGCCACCCACCTTGAGATATAAGTTTTAAGGTCTCAGTATAGTTACAGCTTTTGCCCCACCCTTCAAACCGAAACGCATTACTGCTTCACGGCAGAAATAGGCAGGGTGGTGGTACTTACCCGCGCGGACTCACAAGTAGTCCAGTAGAACAGGTCTTAATTAAGTATTTCATTAGAAACTTTGAACATCGGTATTGGTGAGTCGCTCGATACGATTTATAAGTCGCGATGACTTCAAGATTATAGTGTAGAAATCTTCGTTGTAGCAGGTGATAATGACATACTAGTAGATATTTAATAAGTGTTTTTTTTATTGCTTAGATCGGTGGACGAATTCACAGCCCACCTGGTGTTAAGTGGTTACTGGAGCCCATAGACATGTAGGTACAACGTAAATGCGCCACCCACCTTGAGATACAAGTTCTAAGGTCTCCAATATAGTGACAACGGCTGCCCCACCCTTCAAACCTAAACGCATTACTGCTTCACGGCAGTAATAGGCAGAGTGGTGATACCCACCCGCGCGGACTCACAAGAGGTCCTACCACCAGTGTGTGGAAGATATTGATAATACTCGTAGTAGCGTGGGTTAAACCTCCCACAAGATGGTCCGACGACCTATTGAGGTTCGCGGGGTCCGCTGAATGCAGGCAGAGCAGGACCGATCATTGTGGTGAGGCTTGGGGAAGGTCTTTGTCGAGCAGTGGACGTCTGTGAGCTGATAGAATAGTGGATATTGAAGTTAGTTTTATTATAATCTTTTAATCTGATTGTCAAGTTTCAATACATCCAATGGAAGATCTTCCACCGAGCGGGTGATATTGCTCGGTTTACCGACGGTCCGGATGTTGTTGTTCGGAACTTGTATATATGCAAGCTTCTCTAGAAAATATCGTAAGCGAGATTCAGGCAACTGTTAAATATCTCGTGTTGCACGATGGCTACCCGCCACAAAAACTAAGAAGACCTTAAAATACTAATAACCTAGAAGTTGCTCATAATGTTGCGTTAGGGGTTTATATGTGATAATTATTAATTTATAATAATTTCACATAGGGCATTTTATAATTTCTCGTTATTATTAGGTATATAGTGGATAATAATAACTAAAATTTGTATTTTTTCCAATTCCAGCATCTGTCGTCGGTTTCGCCCTCATCGTGGGAAACTTCATAATCACATTAATTCTGGACAACATCGGCAGGAAGAAGTCTCACATCCTCACTATCTTCCCAAACCTCGCCGGCTGGTTCCTGTTTCTACTAGTCAACAACTTTCCTGGTCTCATGGCAGCCAGGTTCCTCCAAGGAATCGCTATGGGCATGCTTGGACCTTTGGGCTCAATAATAATCGGAGAAATGACGGACCCAAAAAGCCGTGGAGTATTTCTGACTAGTGTTTCTTTGTCACTGACCCTTGGGGTACTTTCCAGTCACGCTTTAGGAACGTGCTTCACTTGGCAGATTAGTGCTTTGCTGTGTTCGTTAGTGACATTCATTAGCCTGTGCTTGATTATATTCACTCCGGAATCTCCATCGTGGCTCCTTTCAAAAGGACGCTACGACGAAGCCAGAGAGGGTTTCTTTTGGTTGCGAGGGAAGAATGCGAAAACGGAGCATGAATTGGAACGGATGATAACGTCTCAGAAGATGACTCGTAAAGCCAGTATTACAGGACAAAAGGATACAGTGAAAGCAAATCTCAAGAACTACTTCAGGTATTTAAGCGAAGCGGGCAAGAAGCCGGAGTTTGTGAAGCCCGTAGTGATAATGGTGTTCCTTTACATCATGTTCCAGTTCGCCGGTATAAACGTGATCAGTTCCTACGCTACCGACATCTTAGCAGAACTCCTTGATTCCGAGGCGAATTCAAACTTTCTGATGGTCGCTTTGGACATCGAAAGACTGATATGCAATTTAATCGCCATATACCTTATGAAAACGTTAAAGAGAAGAACCCTTCTGTTCAGTACAACGATCATTTGTATTCTGGCATACATCAGTAAAGGATCCTACGTTTACGCCAAGCAAGCTGGCATATTAACTTATGACAGCCAATGGATTCCAATCACTTTAATTGGCATATATATGTTTTCGTTAACCGTGGGCGTGTCTTCGATACCATTTGCGTTATCAGGGGAGCTTTTCCCGTTGGATTACCGTGGCTTAGGTGGCGGGGTCAGCTACTTAGCTTTGTCTCTTAATTTCTTCATCGCTGTTAAATGTTTCCCTGTTTTAAGCTCAGCAATAGGGTTGTCGTTCACGTACTTCTTGTACGCTGGTATAGTGACGATTTGCATGGTGGTAGTTTGGATTATGTTACCAGAAACTAAAGACAAAACCCTGCAAGAGATAGAGGATAGGTTTAGGGGTTACACTGCTGAGGATGTCAAGAGTTCTCAGCCTCTCAACGCGGCCAATGGAGGCGGGGAGATGATGCGTAGATGTAGCTCTCATATTTTGTACTGATTTAATTCTAATTGATCGCCATTTATATATTAATGATAAAATCGTAATTACATTAAATATTCTGTCACATTTCAAACAGTTTTGTGGCAGAGTAATGTTTTTTTTAAAAAGAATATTTATATATTTTTTGTATTTTTGTAATTAAGAATAACACCGAAGCTATCTTTGGTTTTCGTAAGCCGTAGACTTAATTTGAACTACCTGTACGATCTAATATCCTGGTTGTTATTTTAATTTAATTATTTCCAATGTTATGAATAGGTACATTATTACAGTTTCCGTGGTCACGAATGACCAAAGAACTTTGAATATTGTGCTAACGACTATCTTATAGTTATAACGTTAAGTAGTTCTAATTATGAATACTGAAACTCTTCTAAAGATATTCTTTTATTTATTTATCAAATAAAATACTAATTAATCAATTTATTATAAAAAAAAGAACACAATATTCCTAATCTGTTATTGTACATGTTGTTATCCACAACATGCTTCGTCAGATTACAGATATAGAGTTAACAGCAACATGCTTCGTCAAATGTACAGCAATTACATTTGAACTTATTATGTGACATTTAGGTTAAGTCGGAAACATATCAGAAAAGTATTAAATCTCAAAATAAAACGATTCGTTTGAAATATATGTTTGTCAATTTATTGTTCCCAATAAATAATAATACTTGCATTTATTCTAATACGAATCTAGTTATCATCTGTTCCTCAACTAAGTACGTGGCCAGCTGACAAAGCTGGAGAGCACATCCTGTTCTTTCCTGTCGCGTGTCAACCTCCTTCCACTTTCCCCAGTTCCAACATCCTCTCGTTCTCGCGAGGGTCTGCTACCTCTTCCGCAATACCTTTAAACTGCCTCTCGATTTCGTAAAGAGTCTTCCCTTTAGTCTCCGGTAGGATGAAGTATAAAAAGATTCCGCATACCGCAACCCAAAAAGCGTACAGACAGAACGTCCCCTTGATACCAATAGTACCAAAGGACGCCGGTGCCGTTTTGACCACGACAAAAAACATTATAGACAGAAACATCCCTGAAATCCCACTGCCGAGGCTACGGTATGCCAACGGGAAAATCTCTCCGGCAATGGCCCAAGGAATGGGCAAAATACCCAACGTTTTGCCGAAAATGTAAAATAGAGTTGGGATAACTGGAGTCCATTTGTATTCATCAGGGAGGTACCCAAAATCTCGGAGGTACAAAAGTAAAGCAGCTGTCAATAACGATATAACTGTCATGACAATCCCAAAGAAAAGGACAGCTCGTCTATTGAATCTGTTGACCACAATGCAGGCCAGTATTGCTGTTCCAAACCTCACGACGTCGACCATTAACATGCCAATATTGTCATCGATCAGGCCGCTTGTTACGTCACACATAATGGGCACAGTGTACGAAGGTATCACAGTCATCCCAGATATTTGAAACAGCACAAACATGAACATCATGATCAGAGTTGGTTTGTAAAATTCCGGTTTCTTAATCAACTCTGCATAAGTCTTCAGCTTAGATTGTTTGGCCGTTATCAAAGTGTGTCCCGTTTTCTTCTGACTCTGTAGAAGCACTTCGAGCTCTTTCTCCGAATCTTGATCGTAGCCCCGGAACCAGTGAAACGATCTCCTGCATTCGTTTGCCAGGCCTTTCGAAGCCAGATACGACGGAGTCTCCAGCGTCAGTGAAACGAGAACTAAGGATAGTGCATAGAAGCTGCCGCACGCTAAAGCCGCTGATCGCCAGTACAGCAAGGTGCCAAAGATGTGTGCTATTAGCATTCCTGCGGCGAATGCAAATGCTATTGTGGCCAGGAAGGCGCCGCGGTATTTTGGTGAGGAGTATTCAGCGATAGACACCGGTGATGCAGCTGCTTGCACACCCATCGCAAATCCCTGCAAGACAAAAACAAACGTAAAGACATAATTAATATAACAAGAATATCATAGTTGCTTTATCGAGCAAAATTAATTGAATAATATGTTGCTCAGCCGTAGTTGACTGAGCAAATTTTATTAATACTTTTTCGGCTTCAACATAACGTTAGTATACCTACATTATTATTATTTTGTACAAATTTGGTAGGACCTCTTGTGATTCCGCACGGGTAGGTACCACCGCCCCGCCTATCCCTACCGTGGAGCAGTAATGCGTTTCGGTTTCAAGGGTGGGGTAGCCGTTGTAACTATACTGAGACCTTAAATTCAAATTCAAATTCATAATCATTTATTACTTAGAACTTATATCTCAAGGTGGGTGGCGCATTTACGTTGTAGATGTCTATGGGCTCCAGTAACCCCTTAACACCAGGTGGGCTGTGAGCTCGTCCACCCATCTAAGCAATAAAAAATAATCAAATATGACCCAGTATCAGTAAATCAGTATCAATGTAAAATCACGAAGAAACAATAAATTTCACAAAAGACGAAATTGATAAAGAAATCTAAAAATATTACACGTTGACGTATTAATGTTTTAATTTATTTTCCGGTCCGGCGTCCCGAGGGGGAAGGCGATGGGAGAGATGTGCCCAGCACCAAAACGCTTCACGTTCCCCCTTTGCTTTTTCATGAGTTCTGCCTTATGCGAGGTTCAGACGTGTTGTTGAGCGACAGGAGGTTTTTAGTCGGTTCGACTCCAACATGCCTCGTTCTCCATCCTCCCAAAAAATATCTAAAAGTATTTTATATCATCGTCCTTTTAATTCAACTTAATGTACAGGGTATTTATCGGCCAGTTGCTAGGTCAAAAGTTGACCTGGCACTGTGGCCCTATGAACAAGGTTTTGAATGTAGTATATTTGATAGCTACATTTGCCCCTGAAAGCAGCCGATTGTGTAACTCATTTAATGGTGAATGATTACTATCACATCTAGATGGCAGCAAGGGGCAAATAAGTTTACTGCTAAGGAAGAGCTCTGAGGAGTCCTCAGCGGTAAAGCTGGCTTTGTCCTTAGCATTGCTGATGCCCATGGTCGCTAACGATCCAGAGAACCGTGGGCCTTGTCAGTCTAACATAGCAATAAAAAAGTCTACATAAACTAGTAAGTTACATATCTCCAATTAATTTAATTAGTAAAACAGAGTAGTCCGCTGCGAATATAAAAAAAACCTCCGTAAACATATCCCTTATAGTAACAGTATTCAAATAATATCTACAAGTAAAACCTGTTATACGAATTTTGAAAAGAATTCAATAACTACTCATAGGAGTTGACCGAATAAAAAATACGAGGAAAATGAGTCGATGGCCGATGGTGACGTTTGTTTTAAATCAAGTTTTGCGGTAGATAAATTGTTTTTTATAATACTTTTGATTTTCGACCAAATGCTAAATAAAGAGATATGAACTCTTAGAAGATTCTCAAGAACTATGAGAATTGAAAATAAAAGCGCGTACAGTTCAAATAACGCGATGTATTCAAGAAGTAACATTGGTGTGAAGATTTCTATGATATATTCAAATTCCCTAGCAGAACCATAATGCTCTATCGCTATATAACTGAATCGTTATATTTCTAATCATCTAAAATTCATCTTACTCTTTATCTTTACCAATTTAACAACAGACCACAAAGAGCGATAGTTAGGTGGCTGGTCGTAGTACAGTAAATCAGTATTAAAAAAATCAATACTATTTATATAGGATTGGTAAGAACGGACCGTATGAATAGAGTGTAGAACGGAGCGTTACGATGTGAGTGAGAGAAAACAGTAAGAAAGGGAGAGAGAATGACAATAAAGAAAAAGAAGATGGCGAAGACGATTGATTGAGAAAAAAGCGTAAAAAAGTGTGAGATATTTTTTAATTATAGAGTGTGGAACGGAGCGTTAAGATATGAGTGAGAGAAAACGGTAAGAAAGAGAAAGAGAATGACAGGGAAAAGGAAGATGGCGAAGACGATTGAATGAGAAAAGCGTCAAAAATGTGAGATAATTTTTGATTATTATAAAGGAATTGTATTATTTAATGCGCCACGTTCCCAATTCTACATTTCTAAGCCCATTACGACATTATTCTCCAATGACGAGAGTACACTTTAGATTTTCTCACTAGAGCAAACGGAGAAGACGTAATGATAGACAATTACCCTCAAATAGTTTCCAATCAAATACAGTAATTGCGAGTAACATCACGTGCATTAATAAAATGCTCGGTTGCTGATTGAGCTGTTACTCGTGAGCCGATCGCAAATTAATTGAACGAATCTGTCCTGAATGTTCAAATTGATTTGCATCTGCCATTATGTAGTGAAAAATACTGGAAACGAATACCTTGTCATCAAGATGTTACGACATAAAGTTTGTACGTCACGAGAAATCGATAGTAGGGCTCGCGGTAGGTAATTTGTGGATGAAACTGTTTACATATGAATGGATATCAAGGGTAGAAAGAACAATTAGTACAATGATAGTAAACAAGTCAGTGCAAATTTCCCTCGAAATAAGGGTTAAAATTGGTGGTACGTTTTACATTATTTTGGTTTATGATGAGCGAGATGACGGCCCACCTAATGAAAAGTGGTTAGTTAAGTATACATCACAACGCGAATACCGCCACTGATATTGAGAGGACGTCTTTACCTCTCAAATTTACCTTTATTAGTTACGCAAATTATATATAAGTTTTTGTTCTTCGCAGACTTGTTTTTTGTTATACCATATCATTTGTCCATAGCCAAAGTCATTCGGGGAACATGAATTAACTACGTACTTATTCAATTAGAAAAAATGTTATTGTCAGCGAGATTTGAAACCTTGCATAGACGCATCGCTCGATGATAGTACAACAAGCGCCTTATCAAATCAATCCGTTGCGTCCTGAGAATTTACTATTTTTTGATTCTGCTGGTTGTATTGTATTTGAATATCGAACGATACCGCTGGTTATGTCACATACATTAAAAACCGGTCAGAAGATTCTACAATATTCTACAACGATAATAATTTTCATGGCAATTCATCAAATGATGTATAACCGATAAATCATTAAGGTTAGTACTATTTTAATCAGTATACCGGTTCGACTTTCCGTGTTACTTACATAATTTTTTTTCTCTACCTATTCGCTGGTAGCCAAAGAGGCTGTTTCAACTACGCCCTGACGGGTAGGTGAGCTCACGAGGCTCAAACCAGAGTGCTGCTAACACTGACCCTAGCAAGAGCAGTGCTTCCCAGAATCTACCACCGGATTGCAAACGCGACCCACTGAGAAGATACGGCGAGAAACTCAGTGGGCTGTGTCTATGGGTTGATTTACTCGTAGCGAGCGCTATGACATGTCCTTCTTCAATCGAGGCTTGCGGAGAGTACTTTATGGTAGGCAGCGGCTTGGCTCTGCCCCTGGCATTGCTGACGTCCATGAGCAACGGTAACCACTTACCATCAGGTGGGCCGTATGCTCGTCTGCCTACAAAGGCAATAAAAAAAAAGCCCTTCGTAGCAAGCGACGGGTTCCGCGAGCACGGTAACTGATGTTTGAGGTACCTGAAACACCGTTAATGAATCGGGAGGATCCGTAATGATGTGTTTAGGGCTACAGGCGATAATTAGTCATAGAACTATTTACTTATCTATACCTAACTAGATTATCTGCTTACCTGCAATGAACGACTAATGAGGATGGTTGCCGGTCCCTTGGCCGTGATCATCAACGCCCACCCGCCTAGAGCCGGCAGCGTGCTGAGCTGGTTGGTGATGCGTCTGCCCAGATGCTCCAGACTGAACGGCGCCACGATAATACCCGAGATCAGCGCCAAGCCCAGTATTGAGGCTGAAATAACGGAAACGAGAACTAAAAAAGGTTGTAGATCATCTATACATATAAATAAAATTGGAGTGTCTGTTTGTAATATTGAAATAACCGCTTTTTTCTACACGCATATGAATATATATACGGTACATACACCAAAATAACATTTTTTACAATTTTTCTCTGTCTGTCTGTCTGTCTGTTTGTTCCGGTTAATCTCTGGAACGGCTGGACCGATTTTGACGAGACTTTCACTGATAGGTAGCTGATGATATAAGGTGTAACTTAGGCTATTTTTTTTTAAGACTAGCTTCGCCCCACGGCTTCCCCCGCGGTACGACAATAACCGCGGGTAACATCGCGGGACTCAGCTATCAATAATAAAATTTAATGTTTCCGAAGCGAAGCGAGGGCGGGTCGCTAGTCTACACTAATATATAAAGAGGAAAGATTTGTTTATTTGTTTGTACTGAATAGATTCCGAAACTACTGAGACGATTTGAAAAATTCTTTCACTATTTGAAAGCTACACTAATCCCGAGTGATAGAGGCTATAATCTTTTTTGAAGAAAATTGGGGATCCTTACTAAAACTTCAATAATGTAACCCAAGGTGTAAAAAAATACCTAAAATATTCTCTTTATCCGAAAACTATTAATATAAATAATGTACTACGACTTTGCAGAACACATTTATTTACAAAAAGTGTCGCGACAGCATACGTCTAACTATTATAGTTATGCCGTGTTATTTATAAGTGTTCTTTTATTAAAAAAATAGAACAACGTCAATCGTTGAAATTTTTGTTAAAGACCTGAGCGGAGCCGGAGCGGGCCGCTAGTCTATATATTAAAACGTGAAGCGAAAACGTTGTGCCCCTTTTTACGAAAATTGCGCGAACGGAGGAGTATCAAACGAGAGAATCTAATAATATTACCCCCTGAAAAAAATCTGCAAATATTTTTTAAGCACACAGGATACTTAGATCTACAATAAAATGCAAACAGACACTTAGGATTTTTTAAGATTGGCGCGTAATAAAGTGAAATATGCACATGGGAGTTTTTGGCTGAGTATAGGTATTCAAAATAACTTTCATAATACATATGAGTCGTCTATTATCAAAGGTGGCAATCTGTGCATTTGGACAACATTTTTTTATTGATATGTCAATACAGATTGATTTGAATATAATCGTCTCCTTCAAAGAATACGGTTCAAAACCTGCATTAAATAAAGGTTAATAGTTAACCTGTTATTTATCTAAGATGTCGTTCCGAAGAGTTTTGTGACTGCCAATGGAATACAAAACCAATAATTCGTTTTTCTGATTTACCAATCATTGTCCAAAAGTCAGATTGCCGGCTTTGATAATAGTCGACTCATATATGAAAACATGATTTTGACCCAAATTTTCCGATCCATTAACGGTGCTTTTAGGTACCACAAGCACCGGTCACCGTCCTCGTCGAACCCGTCGCTTGCGACGAAGGGCTCGACGGGCGAAATAACCCACAGACACAGCCCACTGAGTTTCTCGTCGGATCTTCTCAGTGGGTTGCGTTTCCGATCCGGTGGTAGATACTGCGAAGTACTGCTCTTGCTAGGGTCAGTGTTAGCATCACTTCGGTTTGAGCCCCGTGATCTCACCTACATGTTAGAGTAAAGCTGAAATAGCCTCTCAAGGGTATCAGCATAGGTAGGGAAAAAATGGCCCAAAATGTCACATAGAAGATTTTAAATTTGCAGCGAAGTTATTTTCATGGTAGTTTGGTATTTGTGTTTGCAAAAGTCAAAGTTGAACCCAATGTCGTGTGTGTTCGTAAAACCTATAATCGAGAGAAAACTGCGTGGAACGTGACGCATTTTCGTGGCAGTTTCAATGAACGTAAATCACGTGTACTTCTGTGTAATTTTCAGAACACAAACTCATCATTAGCTTCGTCCCGTACAATATTTGTGGCTATCGAAGTTCTTGGCTTAACATTGAATCGTGTTTCCACGGGATTTATAAATGACTTCGCGTAATAATTGTGGTTTGTAAGCACTATGGAACTATTTATTTTGGTTTTTTAAATTTTTATATTGCTTATATGGGTGGACGAGCTCACAGCCCACCTGGTGTTAAGTGGTTACTGGAGCCCATAGACATCCACAACGTAAATGCGCCACCCACCCTGAGATACAAGTTCTAAGGTCTCAAGTATAGTTACAACGGCTACCCCACCCTTCGAACCGAAACGCATTACTGCTTCACGGCAGAAATAGGCGGGGTGGTGGTACCTACCCGTGCGGACTCCCAAGAGGACCTACCACCAGTGGTTTTACGTTGTAGATGTCTATGGGCTCCAGTAACTTAACACCAGGTGGGCTGTGAGCTCGTCCACCCATATAAGCAGTAAAAAAAAACATGTGTGCAATTCACACGTGGTAGAAGTGAAACCTTCCAAAATTAAAATACAATTATCCTAAACGTCTTAAGTATATGTAAAATTTTGTCATTAGTAAATAATTGTAAGGTAGCGCCCTCTGTGAATTGATATTTTAATTTCACGTATAATCCTAAATTAAAATTCACTACAAGAGCTTTCATACACACGTTAGTATTAAAAAATCTCNATTTTACCCCAAGATTAAATTATTACAATTATTAACCTACATTTTTTGTTGATGTTCTAATAAATATATAAAAAAATACATATGTTGATTTTAATAATTTAATTGCATTATGACGCAGAGTAAATAATGTTTTTGCACGTGAGTGTACCATGCGCAAACTTACCCCCACTACGTCAACAAATGCTCAAGAAGTTTGCCGGTTATTATATCAGTAGTTATAAATATTTTATGAACAGATATGAGTAGAAGGGTTATTTTGATAATATCCTAAAAAGCAACCCACGCTTTTTTTTACAATAAAATCATTTTTTCTTACACTATTTTTAATTCATATTTATTAAAATTTATTTTCTATTTTTTTATTGGATTTTCTATAAAAGCGTATTTTGTTAGTTTTTTTTAAACTAACTATTATTTCTTTTTAATTTTTTAGTTGATTTTCAATTTATTCAATGTTTTATTTTCAATCTTTTTTTTTCACGTTGAATTTCCATTGATCCTTAATAAGTATACGAAATTTCGAGTTAATCCGACGTTTAGAAGGGGGTCAAAATCATGTTCAAAGATTCCGTTACATGCTAACATACATACGTCTGAAGCTAATAAAAGCGTATTAAAAAGAAGAAGAATACATCAAACATACGGATCTATGCCCTCTCAGCTATTTCTGCCACGAAGATGTTGTGTATATGAGTAACAAATAATGCTCACGATTGGACCCTCAGCTTCACATCTCCAGATGGGAGCTACTAACGCAGTTGTGTCGTCGCTAAATGTCTAAAACCGGTCAGAGCTCGGCCGTCCAACTAAACTTAACTTAGCACTGTCTGGTAAAACCTACGGAATGAGCAAACCACTTACCAACCCAAGACTCGTGGTCCGGGGTGAGTTGGACTGCTGAATCTGGCTGCCGCAGCTGCTGCAACAGGACCCCGGGATACGCGATGTTCGCTCCGGTCCCTATCATGTACATCACCACTCCGCTTACAGCCAATAGCTGGAATACGATATCAGAATTAATTTTACGCGTCCTATTGTTTTTGCTCGCAACAGATAGATGAGCAAGCAACCCAAATGGAAATAGTCCACCCATCTAAGCAATAAATAAATAAAAAGAATCTACTTCTAGATCGAAATCGTGACCCACTGACAATATCCGGCGAGAAACCGGTCCGGTGAGCACGTTCTCATCCGGTTGGGTGAGCACGTGCTACTTGCTAGGTATTAACGTAGTAACATTTCCTTCGAAATTTTGAAGGTTTACGTCTGCCCCTGCACAGTCGCATCCATTGACATTGATATTGAATCGTTGACATTGGAGTACGCCAGAGGTCTTATGGTTTAAACTAGGTTTTTTTTTTATTGTATTCTTTATTTCCTCGTCGCTGTTTCTGTGAAGCTACGATAAATCGCGATAAAGCGACAGGTTTAGAAACGTTAAGATCAAACCGGTTGTATTAGTTCTAGGATTAGTTACAATGCGTCTTCTCGTTTAAGTCGATTGTGGGTTTTTTCAATAGTGTAATTACTATACATACCCGGTGGTCCGATCGTGTTTTTTTTTCCTACCTAGCTGAGAGCCTTGAGAGGCTATATCAGCGTAACCTTAACTAATTAGTAGGTGAGCTCATGGGGCTCAAACCTGACGACGCTGCTAACACGAACCCTAGCAAAAGCCGTGCTGCGCAGAATCTACCACTGGATCGAAAAAGCGACTCACTGAGAAGATGCGGCGGAAAAAAAAAAGTGGGTTGTGTCTGAGGGTCGATCGTGTATATTTCGCCCGAGCAATGACTTCTGCTAAAACCTGTCCGTGCGTGCACAGGAAAAAACCTTACCAGTACTAGCCAGCGGGAACCTTTTTGAGTTCTTACAGTATTGAATGAATCTTTAGTTCATTGCTTAGATGGGAGGATGAGTTCACGGCACACCTAGTGTGAAGTGGTTACGTGACCACTGATAGAAATCAACAGCGTTAATGTCGCCACGCACTCACTTTAAGACGTGAGTTTTATATCTCTGTTTTATAATAACAACGGTTGTCCCATCGTTCAAGCTGCAAAGCGTTATGATGGATGATAGAAACAGGCAGGATGAGAGTAGCTTGCATTATTCTTATAGATTTCCAGTAGATTACAGAATTTTTGAAGTCATACGACTTGCTCTTTTGTTGGAGAAGCGAGAACTTTTTTTTGATTGGTCGACGAGCTCACAACCCACCTGTTGTTTAGTGGTTACTGGAGCCCATAGACTTCTACAACGTAAATGCGCCACCCATCTTGAGATATAAGTTCGAAGGTCTCAAGTATAGTTACAACGGCTGCCCCACCCTTCAAACCGAAACGTATTACTGCTTCACGGCAGAAATAGGCAGGGTGGTGGTACCTACATGTGTGGACACACAAGAAGTCCTACCACCAGTAAAACCACCACGCGATTTTCTGGTCGTTAATCCTTAACCTGACATCGGGGGAGCCCGAAGACATTCTCAGAGGTTAGTTTCCCCCTCCAGCCCTAGTACGGCGGCGGCATATTTATAAAGAGAGAATAGTTCTTGGTTACGCCCTGCCACCTACGATGCAGCTCGTAGAATTCGAAAACGGTGGTCTCATTGACCTTATCAAGAAATAAAAATGCATCGGATAGTCACTCAAGAAGAGAAAATGAAGAAGAGTATTAACCAACAACCACATTGGCATAGAGCACTTGTAACGGACGACACTTTTTCTGCCAACATATATAATATATGTAACCGCTATATAATTTATGTCATAAACCTTAAAAGAGGTTAATATCTTATAAAGGTGACATAAATGGTAATTTGAATATTGAAACATTAGAAGAAGGAACATTAGAAATTTTTTGAACATTGAAATATAAAAAACGTAAAAACTGGTGAAGCAATAGCTTTAAATGTTGTTTCTCTTTATAGAGCAACTCAGTTTGTGCTATAGTTTTACTGGGCTAAGCTTTATTTTGCTGTGAATAAAATAGTATATTAGTATATAGAACAATAGTATATAGAAATCCAGCAAATTCATCACTTCTGTCCTATTATCCAGAGAGCTTTAGTCCGGGCAGAAGGGGGTTCCCCGAAGTCCGAACCGCGCCCCCCTAAGGGGCCGCGAGAACCCCACGAGCCTTTATTAGATCTAAGCGATAAGTAGACACTTAAGCTTTTTTTGGAACGAAGTTCCTTATGGAACGATGCGGAGGGGTACCCTAACCGGGAAAAAACGTCCGTAACGTAAGATTTTTATTATGTGTACGACTTAACTTTGTAATAACGTAGCATATTTTTTTATCATTCATTGACCACGATCTCAGAGCGTTCGTTTGCGCAATACACTAACTCTTATGCAAACAACCGTGAATGAAGTGTACCACAATAAGTTCGCACGTTACCGAATGACCGTGGGTTGTTGCGAAACCTCCAGTTTTATTTTCTTTATACCTCGAGTAGAACTTAAAATTAATATTTTTATAATAAGGAACTTCGTTCCTATCCGGTGTCCCATGAAACCACACATATTTCTTTTTCTTCTATAATTATCTGCAATCGGCTATATAGCCATAATCAGATGTGGTCCAAGGGGTTCGTGTTGTGGATGACATTACATTAAATGTCATCAATTATAGCAGTAAATTTAATTTCTTTGGTCTAAGTCTAAAATTTGCCATCTTTTAAACGTTTCACATCTCCAGTTGTGTCGAGCAGGCACCTTGCCGATTCATTTGAGTGCTCATTTAGTCTTTCTTTGTATCTCTTGCTGTTCTTGTTGACTTCCTCTCTAACAGTCGGCATTTCTAAGTATTCGTGAATCTCACTATTTCTTACAAACCAATGAGCATTTGAGATAGTTCTAAGAGCAATGTTCTGGAATCTCTGTAAGATCTCGATATTCGAGTTACTAGCGGAACCCCTTAGCGGAGACACTTAAGTTGAAATCTATATCTCTATATATAAAAATGAATTGCTGTTCGTCAGTCTCGCTAAAACTTGAGAACGGCCGGACCGATTTGGCTAATTTTGGTCTTGAATTATTTGTGGAAGTCCAGAGAAGGTTTAAAAGGTAGATAAATATGAAAATGTTCGGAATTGAATAACAAAAACAATTTTGTTTTTCCTTTGACGTGTCCCCCGTCGGACGGATTCCTTTTGTTTGTTTTAAGTTTATTTTATACAAAAGTTTAGTTATTTTATTTATCGATTGAGGCACTACGAAGTCTGCCGGGTCAGCTAGTAAAATAATATAATAACATAATAAAGTTGACATTGAAGTTGATTGCAAATCCGTGCTTGAACTAATACCTTATAATAGCACTGTGATTGTCGCATAATGAATGCTGACACACGTCTTTAGAAAAATACATTGTATTTTAAATTGTTAGGTAACGTATCGATTATTTCCGTGTTATAGAACATCGGGGACCAGTAAGTACTAAGGTGATCCGGAAAAAGATTAAGGAAGCGTGTGTTGCAGGAAACTAGATGACTCGAAGGACCATTAATCATAGCGTTTTGTTTTATTATTTTATTTATTCAATAATATAGGACAGAAGCAATGTACTAATAATGTTAATAGAATACTTCCAGAAGCTTCATTTGACTTAGGTTTCAATTTTTCGATCTTTACCAAGTTCTGCTTCGTATTTTTGTTTCTCTGCCTAATCGCCGGTATGTAGGCAGCGGCTTGGCACTGCCCCTGGCATTGCTGAAGTCCATGGGCGACAGTAACCACTCATCATCAGGTGAGCCGTATGCTCGTCTGCCTACAAGGGCTACAAAAAATAAAAAAAAATAAAAAAAGCCTAGGGATCTAGTCCAGCTACGCCAGAACGGGCGATTTCACTTTCTATTAAGACGCTTTGAATAGCTGGGTAAATTTTCAAAGTCGTATTGGCCCAAAAATATTAATGCCTTAACGTACCTACGCAAATTGTGTTATTATTACTATCGCTATCTTATTATTAGTACTGTCCGTATTATTCTTGAACGGCGCAAGGTTCTCAGCTAAGTTGCTAAAAAAAAACTTATTGTTGCCTTTATTCTACTATCAATCAGCATGTCCACTTTTTTCATTCAGGCATATCATACGTTTCACGTATCATCCTTTTTCTTCTTTAGTTTTTGGCTCCGGCTCGGTTTGTGCATTAGCCAGCGTCAAGCAATAAGATTTTTATAATTCGCCGTTTTAATTATTTACAGTATACGAATAATAAAAAACGAAGGAAACTTAATCAATTGGCATGAAATTAAATGAAATGAGATGAGATGATATGGTATGAAAATGTAATCTCAGTAAAATGGTGGTCATTTACTGAGACTTTTTCAGTGGACTTTTTGGAGGATCACGAGAAGTTACGTTCAGCGGCTTTGCTTCATTTTTCCACATTTGTGCACTTTAACAGATACTAAACAGTTAATAAACAACCGTTATTACACATTTAAACCCGAAGAAATACAAAATAGACAAAATAAAACGTTCCCGCCAAAAAGTCATAGTTATAGTCTGTAACCTATATATCCCATATATCCTCCTTCAAACAGCGCATCCAGATCTCTTTGGGACGACGCTAAAAAAAAACAAATACCTGTCTAAAAAACGGCGTTAAGCTGTGTTCGTGACAAATAACTTCGTCGGCCATCTTGATTCCGTCAAAATAATGTTTTCCTTAGTTTTTTTTACTACGTCTTTTTGAAGCTGAAACAAAAAAAATACAAGATAAATTATCATTACAAATAACATTAACATCAGCATGAAACATAATTGAAAAAATGTAGGTAGGTATATGTATTTTGTAAATTGTAAATGTTTTTAGTTCTGCCTTTTAGTGGGTTTTCGCATCTCTCACGAGAATAATGTTTGTATAATTGTGCTGAAACAGAACTTTTTTGAGTGCCTCGTAGAGATTACTCCAAGCTACGTACTTTCGATAATATACTTCGGGGCCTTTTTTTTTCCTACCTCAGCTCAGAGCCTTGAGGGATTATTTCAGCGTAACCTTAACTAGTAGGTGAGCTCACGGGGCTCAAACCTGACGACGTTGCTATCACGAACCCTAGCAAGAGCCGTGCTTCGCAGAATCTACCACCGGATCGGAAACGCGACCCATTGAGAAGATCCGGCGAGAGACTCAGTGGGCTGTGTCTGTGGACTAATTTACTTGTCGAGCCCTTCGTCGCAAGCGACGGGTTCGACGAGAACGATGCCGGTGATTCAGGCACCTAAAAGCACCGTTAGTGGATCGGGAGGATCCAAAACGACGTGTTTTGGGCGACGTCGACTGCTTTCCATTCTGTCCGCAGGATCGGGAATGCTTCGGGCCTAATCGCTAGCTCATGAATCGCCACTTACAAGAATAGAAGGTACCTATTTCATTTATAATTGAAGACATGACGATGAAGGGGATATCATGCAATTTGTTAATTTTGAGAAAACGGCCAAAAACTTTTGTTATTTGTACTTTTTCTTCGTCATAACTCCTTCATCACACGAAATTTCTAAAAATAGCCTTTAAACCCAGAATTTTAAGGTCTAATATGGTTTATAGGCACATAACACCTTCATTCGATGTAAAAACTCAAAAATCTAAAAAATTGTACTTAATCCCTTCATCCACTCATGTCTTCAATTAATATTCCAACAGTACATAATAGTAACTCATTATTTATCGCCATTCAATGTCTCACAAATAATTTTCTATCTCAATATGAGATTGGTATTTTTAATTGCATATTGTCTGAAAGTAAACTACGCAATACAATTGCATACAAATATTCATAATTACAATTTAATTACTATCTACGTTACCCGCGACTTCACTCGCGCTAATGTAAATTCATAAATAATTTTCTATCTCAATATGAGATTGGTATTTTTAATTGCATATTGTTTGAAGCACACTACGCCATTCAATTAATTATTATATAACTAGCTGACCCGGTAGACTTCGTAGTGCCTCAATCGATAAATAAAAGACAAACTTTTGTATAAAATAAACTTAAAACAAAAAAAGGAAAAACAAAATTTTTATTTTTATTTAATTCCGAGCATTTTCATATTTATCTACCTTTTAAGCCTTCTCTGGACTTCCACGAATAATTCAAGACCAAAATTAGCCAAATCAGTACAGCTGTTCTCGAGTTTTAGCGAGACTAACGAACAGCAATTCATTTATATATCTATATGTTAATACGTGAAGCAAAAACTTTGTATCCCTTTTTACGAAAATTGCGCGGATTATTATAATGCATAAAAGATACATTAAATCAATAAAGAAAACATTACACACACTACATACCATGTGTTTGACGCAACACGCATGCATACTATTTATTGTCAAACTTTTGTTCTTGACGTCTGTGGTCAAATTGAGATTAAATATTGTTTGTCTTTGTTAATATTTATTTTTAGTGTAGTCTTGGCGAAATTTGTGATTATAGAAGTATAAAATACAATCATAATAGTGTACAAACTTACAATTCCAATTAATTAAAGTCGAATCTCGACTACTGCGGGACCTCTGGTATCCATAATTACAATTTAACTAGTTTCTACATTGCTGCGAGTGAATTCGCGTAGATAATAAAGCTCTCTTCTGCATAGTTAAAATTACTAGGCGTAATGTAATATACGTTATGGTATGTTCTTTACTGCAATTCCGAACGTGTATGCAAAATTTCATGGTGATCGATTGAATACTTAACATGTGAAAGCGTGACATACAAACGAACTCACTTTCGCATTTACATGATTAGATAATGGTTTTGGATAAACAAATATGAATAATCTTTAAAGAACAACAGAGTAATGACATTTGAGTTTAGTAACAAAAATACACACTGTATAGACGGTGTAAGGGTTACCAGATTCGTTTTCCTAAATCCAATAAATAATAATAATAATAATAAAGGTATGATTGAGGTTAGAGCCAATTATTGAGGTAGACGGCTCCTAATACAGAGGTTCAGAAATTATATTTATTAAGTTCCAAACATATAATATTTATTAAATAATATAAATGTAACCATCGACCACTTTTGATGCTCTGAGCTGCTTTGATGCTCTTGCTATTATAAGGACAGGTTTGAAGGTATAATTTATTTTATAGTGACATCGGCGACCGTCTTTATAAACTTGTAAAACTATTCAATGTCAAATATGTTTTATTACATATTGAGAAACGCGTTCGTTGGCCTGGAGGTCGCGGGCTAGAGATATTACGTCCTTGCATGATATTTACATACCTACAGCCATCAAATATTTACGTATAACTAGAGGTCCCGCAGTAGTCGAAATTCGACTATAATTAATTGGAATTGTAAGTTTGTACACTATTATGATTGTATTTTATACTTCTATAATCACAAATTTCGCCAAGACTACACTATAAAAAATATTAACAAAGACAAACCATATTTAATCTCAATTTGACAACAGATGTCAAGAACAAAAGTTTGACAATAAATTACTATTTGCATGCGTGTGTGCGTCAAATACGTGGTATGTAGTGTGTGTAATGTTTTCTTTATTGATTTAATGTATCTTTTATGCATTATTTAAAGAAAATATTAGCATTTTGCACTTTTTCTCTATATTCTCTATAAGTGTGGAAAATTTCATACTCCTCCGTCCGCGCAATTTTCGTAAAAAGGGATACAAAGTTTTTGCTTCACGTATTAATATATAGATATTGCTATATTTGCAAATGTTATGACGTAAAGAAGCACTTGTTTACTTCAAACGACGCCGGTGAATTAATGACAGGCCAGCTTGCGACCACAGATAGGTTCCATCAGAATCGTCATGCATTTGAACAGGTGCTAATGTCGTACAACTATCTCTCTGTATCGGTGAAGTGGTTCACGATGGTCTTGATGACTTCTGTAACCACGCAAAATCAGATTAGCCGAGAGCGGGGACCCACATAAGTCACAAATTACAACTTTAGACGGTAATTAGCATTACATACTTCTTCTTTTTGAGTCCACAGGCATGTTTACTGGTGGTAGGAGCTCTTGTGAGTGCGCGCGGGTAGGTACCACCACCCTTCCTATTTCTGCCGTAAAGCAGTAATGCGTTTCGGTTTGAAGTGTGGGGCAGCCGCTGTAACTATACTTGAGACCTTAGAACTTATATCTTAAAGTGTGTGGCGCATTTACGTTGTAGATGTCTATGGGCTCCAGTAACCACTTAGCACCAGGTGGATGGTGAGCTCATCCACCCATCTAAGCAATAAAAAAAATACGTATAAAAAAAACATTTTAATTTTTTGACAACTACAAATTGTTCTAATCTGCTAAAAAAATATATTACCTAATGACATTATAGATAATGGATCTGAGATAATAGTTGACCCTGACCGTCGATATCGCTTGGAACATTTGCTTCGGTGCGACTCTCCGAGCTAATAAAATTTACATTCAATTCTCAAGTCGGTTTTCAAGTTTTTTTTAGATTAGAATATACAAATCCGTTAGTTAGTGACTTTGACATATACTAAACCTCTACTCCGCGTGTTTGTTTTTTTTTTTCCTACCTAAGCTGATGATAGCCTTGAGAGGCTATTTCAGCGTAACCGTGGCTAGTAGGTGAGCTCACGGGACTCAAACCTGACGACAGGGTGTTTGTACTTATTTTGGTTCTTTCTTATACGTAACAAGATAAAATTATAGTCTATTAAAATTTGGTTGTTATTTTTAACGTAAATTATTTGTATTTTATCAGGCTGGCAACAATAGTGTTACGCGCTAAAATTATTACGCAGATTATAATATGATTTAATACTAAAACTTTGTAGATATAAAAGAAACACTTTTAAATAGCAAACCGAGCTAACAATGAACTACACCTATTTATTTGTTATCTATTCATGATCAATAGATAACAAATAAATAGGTGTAGTTCATTGTTAGCTCGGTATAATCACAAATTTCGCCAAGACTACGCTATAAAAAATATTAACAAAGCCAAACAATATTTAATCTATTCTCAATTTGACAACAGACGCCAAGAACAAAAGTTTGACAATAAATAGTATGCATGCGTGTGTGCGTCAAATACATGGTATGTAGTGTGTGTAATGTTTTCTTTATTGATTTAATGTATCTTTTATGCATTATTTTAAAAAAAATATTAGCATTGTGCACTTCTTCTCTATATTCTCTATAAGTGTGGAAAATTTCATACTCCTCCGTCCGCGCAATTTTCGTAAAAAGGGATACAAAGTTTTTGCTTCACGTATTAATATATAGATTCTTTGCCGCCTCATTTTTTTTGTAGAGACAGCAAATGATTCCGCTTTTTTTTTTATTCACTACCGCTGGTAACCTAAAAGCTCACGGGCTCGACCTGAGAGAATTTGCTAACACTGGCCCTAGTAAGAGCAGTGCTTCGCAGAGTCTATCATTGCATCGGAATCCGGCGAGAAACTCAGCAGGATTTCATAAATATATTACGCAAACACACATTATATTTAATTACTAGCGACCCGCCCTCGCTTCGCTTCGGAAACATTAAAACACACATGAAACCAAAAAAAAATAAAAAAAAATAAACAAAAATAGCCTATGTTCATCAGGGACAATGTCGGCTTCTAATGGAAAAAGAATTTTTCAAATCGGTCCAGTAGTTTCGGAGCCTATTCGAAACAAACAAACAAACAAATCTTTCCTCTTTATAATATTAGTATAGATAGGCGA